AATCCATTGCTGCTCATTGAAGGCCGGTGAGATCTTCTCCTACGGTCTCTGGACAAGACCCAAAGGGGACGAGGCCGTCAGCAGCTCCCTTTCCTCTTCCTCCTGCTCTTCCTCCATTTCTCTGGCCATATTTGCCGCCTTCTCGTAGCTGATCTCCAAGGTCCGGGCGATGCAGCAAATAATCCAGGCGAAGCCGCAGGTGGGCATCCATGCCATCCAACCCAAAAAGTGCCTGAAGGTCCGGACGGAGCTCCTCAGAAGAGCGAGGCCCCAAGCCAAGTGAGTGGTCAAGGCCTACGAAGAGGAAGAAGGGAGAGGAGGTCAGCGCGAATCACCAAGATATGTTTGTTTGACCCGGGGATGAATCTCCGCTCGGCCACAGAAACGCACTGAGTGACCCACTTGGCAGAAATCAAGGAAATAAAAGGGATAGAGTCACCCAAAGTTGGAAGCTGCCAAGGAGGACTCAAAACCTTGTAAAACTACAATTCCCAGAATAATTGCATTCATGGACATCTTCATGGTCTCCTTACCCATTCTATGTACTTTGCCCAACTGATGCAACATAAAAAAACCCCATCATAAATGGAGTCTCCAGGTCAATGGGATGCTAAATCCAGTCCAGGTTTTGCCTGGTTTCAGAGGAGTTATATTTTAAAAATATAAGAAAATGGTTGGATTTCTTTTTCTCTTGGACACATTAGCAGAATGCTTAACTGTCTCCCTTCCCATTGATGTATTTTGCTCTACTGGTGCAAAATAAAACCTCATAAGAGATGGAGACTCCAGGTCAATGGGGTAATGAATCCAGTCCACATTTTGCCCCATTTGAAAGGAGTTTGGGAGCCTTTGTAAACCATAGAATGGATTCCATGCCTTACTGATATGGAAGAAGAGGAAGAAAAAGAAGAAGAAGATGATGATGATGATGATGATGATGATTATTATTATTGGGACACCCCATTCTTCTCACCAAGGGCCTCCGCCTGGGCCATTTGATGCCATCACGGATTTTCCAAGCAAGCACCAAGAGCATCATCCAAGCCAGAAGGACGTTCTGGGCCCAGCAGAAGAGCAAATCCGTGACCAGCTCCATAGAGGCGTGGACCCAGCGCAGGAAGTCCCATTGCATTTGCTTGAAGCAGAAGTACCAGCCAAGCAGCCCAACCCGCAAGGAGAGCAGGTAGAAGTAGAGGGTGCCGAGGCCTCCTTGGATCACCCCTTGGAAGCCAGTGCGGACGGCTCCGGAAGGCAGGAGGGCCCCCGGCGGAGCGGGACCTTTAGTTTGGAGGAGGTCCGGATCCATGGGAAATGAGCCTGCGGGGTGGAAAAAAACATTGCTCCATCAATGTTTGATCCCAAGGAGCACTTAATATGCTAATATGGCAGGAAATAACATCAGCAACCAGGTCAGTGGGGCAGGGAATCCACTCCGCTTAATCTCCACCCCCCAGACTTTTGCAGAGCTAATTAGAGTTGCAATTGGAAAAACCAAGATAAACAAAATGTCAGATGCAGCAAAACTTACTACTATTACTACTACCACTGCTAATAGTAATAATAATAATAATATTTTAAAAACACTAATAAATAATAGATAAAATATAAAATAAATAAATATTAAGTAAATTATTATTATTTTACTGACACAAAAACACAGTATGTCACAGCAAATGAGATCTATATGCTGGATTTCGTATCAGAAAATCACAAGTCAAATACTTCCCAAGCATCTAGGACTGTGTGATATATTTTCAAGTTATTATTATTATTATTATTATTATTATTATTATTATTATTATTATCCTTGACGTGACTGGCTTGACTCTGAAGGAGCTGGGGGAGGTGAGGGCCGACAGGGAGCTCTGGCGTGGGCTGGTCAATGAGGTCACGAAAGGTCGGAAACGACTGAACAAATAAACAACAATTGTTGTTGTTGTTGTTGTTGCTGTTAAGAAGTAAAGGTTTCCTCTGACATTAAGTCTAGTTGTGACAGACTCTGGGACTCTAGTGCTCATCTCTGTTTTTAAGCCGAAGAGCCAGCGTTGTCCATAGACGCCTCCACGTTCATGTGGCCAGCATGACTGCATGTAGCACCGTTACCTTCACGCCAGAGCGGTACCTACTGATCTACTGACAATGGCATGTTTTCGAAATGCTACGTTGGCAGGAGCTGGGGTTGACAACAAAAGCTCACCCTATCACACCAGAGCGGTACCTACTGATCTACTCACAATGGCATTTTTTCGAAATGCTAGGTTGGCAGGAGCTGGGGCTGACAGCAAAAGCTCACCCTGTTCCCTGGATTCCCCTACCCTGGACATCATTCCACAGGAACATAAACCCCACTTGCCTAGTTTCCAACAGACCTCACAACCTCTGAGGATGCCTGCCATAGATGTGGGCAAAACATCAGGAGAGAATGCTTCCGGAACAGGGCCAGGCAGCCCAGAAAACTCACAGCAACCCAGTTATTCCAGCCACGAAAACCTTTGACAACACACATTTATCAAATCGTTTTTCGGGACTCCCATCTCCCAGAATCCATCCCCTTGGAGGACTATGGGAGTTTTAATCCTGCCCATCTCCATTCCATGTATTTATTTGGGAAATTTGCAGTTTAGAGTATTATTGTTGTTGTTGTTGTTGTTGTTGTTTGCTTTTTCTCTCCACAAGGAGACTCTTAGCTGTTTTCCCAATTTGCGTCCCAATATATAACCACAGGGTCACTCCCTGCCGAAAATGAAAGCCGTTTCCTATACTTATGATTGCAATGATAATAACAATAGTAGTAAATGGTTTTGAATATGAAAATCAATGTAGTGCCTTCCCCACACACAATGCTGAATGATAACCTTTTCCTTACCCTTGAGTTAAATGTAGCACTTAGCCAAACAAGAGAGAGATAGAGAGAGAGATGTAGTTTCAGAATAGGACCGAATGGGATGCGTAGTTCGGCCTCAATGCTTTGTAAGGGGAGCAGGTATGGAGTTGCTTCGCTTTCCCAAACTGGTTGGCAGTCAAGCTGCTGCAGACTTTTCTGGCAGCTTTGTGACCTATCGAGTCCCATGATGTCATTCATGGTGATGTCATATTGGCAATGACATCATCAATATTTATTTATTTATTTATTTTTGGAGTGAAAATCACCCTTCCTTTCTCCTAGATAATATTTTCTATTGGAGTAAAATAATAATAATGAATGTACAATAGGTTCTCCGTATCCACGGATTCGGCATCGACGGATCCCCATCATCCACAGATTGGAGGGGGGAAAAATCCTCAAAATAAAATGAAATATTCCCAAAAATAAATAAATAAAAATAAAATAAAATAAAAAGTCAGTCTTTCGATGATGTCATTTTTGGGTAAGGCTTGTCCTGATGGCCTTCAAAGGAGGAAAGAGGGAGGAGCAGGGAGGCATCCGTTGTCATGGAGACTGGTACCCTGGTTGCCATGGCAACCGCAGCCTTCAAAGATGCTCACAGGGAGGCAACGGCAGTCCTTTAAAATTTAATCTGCCTAACACATGGAATGAGGTTGCTTCCTGGGCTGACACTCCCCTGAAAAGCTGGTGGGTTTGGGGGATATATATAGTCCCCAAAGGGGCTAGAAGAGGATTGCAAGGGGATTCTGGGATATGTAGTCTGCAAAGGGTCTAGAAGAGGAATGTTGGGATATGCAGTCCACAAAGGGTTAGGAAAATATTGCAGGAGGGTTCTGGGATACATAGTCTACAAAGGGTATAGAAGAAAAATGTTGGAATATGTAGTCCCCAAAGGGGTCAGAAAAAGATTGCAGCAGATTATGGGATACATAGTCTACAAAGGGTCTAGAAGAAGAATGTTGGGATATGTAGTCCCCAAAAGGTTAGGAAAAGATTTCAGGGGGATTCTGGGATACGTAGTCTACAAAGGGTCTAGAAGAAAGATGTTGGGATATGTAGTTCCCAAAGGGGTTAGGAAAAGATTGCAGGAGGGTTCTGGGATACATAGTCTACAAAGGGACAAGAAGAGGAATGTTGGGATATGTAGTCCCCAAAAGGTTAGGAAAAGATTGCAGGGAGACTCTGGGATACGTAGTCTACAAAGGGTCTAGAAGAGGAATGCTGGAATATGTAGTCCCCGAAGGGGTCAGAAGAAGATTGCAATGGATTATGGGATACGTAGTCTACAAAGGGTCTAGAAGAAGAATGTTGGGATGTTTAGTCTCCAAAGGGATTATGAAAAGATTGCAGGAGGGTTCTGGGATACGTAGTCTACAAAGGGTCTAGAAGAAGAATGTTGGAATATGTGGTCCCTAAAGGGGCCAGAAGAAGATTGCAGTGGATTATGGGATGCATAGTCTATGAAAGATCTAGGAGAAAGATGTTGGGATATGTAGTCCCCAGAGAGTTAGGAAAATATTTCAGGAGGGTTGTGGGATGCATAGTCTACAAAGGGTCTAGAAGAAGAATGTTGGAATATGTAGTCCCTAAAGAGGTCAGAAGAAGATTGCAGCAGATTATGGGATTCGTAGTCTACAAAGGGTCTAGAAGAAAGATGTTGGGATATGTAGTCTTCAAAGGGGTTAGGAAAAATTTGCAGGATGGTTCTGGGATACGTGGTCTACAAAGGGACTAGAAGAGAAATGTTGGGATATGTAGTCCCGAAAGGGTTAGGAAAATATTTCAGGAGGGTTCTGGGATATGTAGTCTACAAAGACTAGAAGAGGAATGTTGGGCTATGTAGTCCCCAAAGGGGTCAAAAGAAGATTGCAGTGGATTATGGGATTCGTAGTCTACAAAGGGTCTAGAAGAAGAATGTTGGGATATGTAGTCTCCAAAGAGGTTAGGAAAAGATTTCTAGGGGATTCTGGGATATGTAGTAGGAGAAGAAAGCTGAGGGTGTTCTGGCATTGGTATTCCACAAAGGGAATGCAGGCAAGCCTTGAGTGACGTAGCCAAAGGGGAGGGGGGAGAAGGAAGAAGAGAAGTGGGCGGGGCTTAACCCGGGGGCGGGGGCGGGGCCAGGCAGGAGAGTAGCCATGGCGGTCACTCTGTCCGAAGTCCGGAGGCGAGTGGCCCAAGTGCACCAAGGCGCCGACCTGGAGCAGCAACTCCGCTTCTACGACGCATGGGCTTCCGAGTACGAAGAGGTGCGCTGGAGAGCATGTGCAGAGTGCCTCCCTGGGATGCCACTCCTTGGATCCCTTCCTCTCTCTTCCCTTCCCTTGGATTACAGCTCCCATCATCCCCAGGGAGCCTTTCAACCTCCCTCCTTCCCTGGACTACAACTCCCATTACACTCATATATATATATATATATATATATATATATATATATATATATGTATATGATATTATTTTTTAATTGTAACAAATGTAGAAGGTTGTGGGTGAACTACAACTCCCATCATGCTAGGAAACTCCCATTAGTTGTTAAAGTTTGTGTTGTTGGGCAGGTTTGCTCTAAAGACATCCTTGGTGTGGTTGATTGTGCTCCCTGGCTGCAGGGTAAACTACAACTCCCACTATGGTGAATCAGTCCCCTCAAACTGCTCCAGTAGGTGGAGTGAGTCATGGGGGTTCTGGGTGCCAAGTGTGGTCCAGGTCCATCATCGGTGGAGGTCACCGTTTCTCTGGTTGTGGGTGAACTACAACTCCCAGAAAGGAAGATCATTTCCGTACAAACCCCTCCAGGAATCAAATTTCGGCATATCAGGTCTGCGTGCCAAGTTTGGTCCAGATCCATTAGTGTTTGGGTTCRCAGTGTTCTCTGGATGTAGGTGAACTACAACTCCCCCRAATCAATGTGATGTAGGTGGACTACAACTCCCCCAAATCAATGKGATGTAGGTGGACTACAACTCCCCCAAATCAATGTGATGTAGGTGAACTACAACTCCCYCAAATCAATATGAATTTTCCCCAAAGTCCTCCAGTCTTTTTTTCCTGGTCATGGGGGCTCTGTGTGCCAAGTTTGGTCCATTTCCCTCTTTGGTGGAGTTCAGAGTGCTCATGGATTGCAGGTAAACTATTCATCCCAGTACCTACAACTCCAAAATGCCCAGGCCAATTCCCCTCCAAACCCACCAGTATTCAAATGTGGGCATATCAGGTATGCATGCCAAGTTTGGTCCAGATCCATTAGTGTTTGGGTTCGCAGTGTTCTCTGGATGTAGGTGAACTACAACTCCCCCAAATCAATGTACATTTCCCCCAAGGCCCTCCAGTCTTTTTTGCCGGTCATGGGGGCTCTGTGGGGCAAAAGTTTGGTCCAATGCCATCTTTGGTGGAGTTCAGAGTGCTCCTTGATTGCAGGTGAACTATAAATCCCAGTACCAACAACCCCAAAAGGTCCAGACCAATGCCCCTCCAAACCCACCAGTATTCAAATGTGGGCATATCAGATATGCATTCCAAGTTTGGTCCAGATCCATCCTTGTTTGGGTTCATAGTGTGCTCTGGATGTTGGTGAACTACAACTCCTACAACCCCTCCAAAGACTTTCAGTATGTTTAGTTGGTCATAAGGGTTCTTTGTGCCAAGTGAGTTCCAGGTCCATCGTTGGTGGAGTTCGGAGTGCAGTTCTTAGATTGCAGGTGAACTATAGATCCCAGGACCTACAACTCCAACATGTCCAGGCCAATTCCCCTCCAAACCCACCAGTATTCAAATGTGGGCACATCGGTTATGCATGCCAAGTTTGGTCCAGATCCCTCATTGTTTGGGTTCATAGTGCGCTCTGGATTTAGATGAACTACAACTCCTAGAAATCCCTACAAAGATTTCCAGTATGTTTTGTTGGTCCTGGGGGTTCTGTGTGCCAAGTTTGGTCTAATTCCATCTTGGATGGAGTTCGGAGTGCTGTTCTTAGGTTGCAGGTGAACTATACATCCCAGGACCTACAACTCCTCTAAATCATGGTGAATTCTCCCCAAACCTCTCTAGTATGCTCAGTTCCTGTGTTTGCTGTGCTCAGTAGAAAAGAATTGGAAAGGGTGAAGGGAGAGACAGTGGGCGGGGTCATGCAAATTCCACACCAATGGAGAGAGAGTCAGAAACACCGGGGTGTCTGTGGTGGAGGAAACACATACAATCTTGGATGGAATTGTCCTCAAATGAAAGCCTTCCCTTGGGTGGTGGGCAGTGTGGTGTTGGTGGAGGTCATCGCCAGGGCTCTTGGAGATGTTCATGGCGCTCGCTATAACCTGCAATGTTATTGGAAGGAGGGCCATTGGTGTCTCCTGAGCAGTGGGAGCTAGAGCTGTTTGTGGAAATGGGAGCTTGTGTATGTAAATGGACACCCCACCACACACATACATACATATTTTCGCAGATGTATAAATAGATAGATAATATTATAATATTATATTATAATACTATATTATAATGTATTATAATATTATATTATTATATTATATTATTATATTATATTATAATATTATATATATTATATTATGTAACAAAAATACCTTCAAGTTTGCAGTGCAACTCCGGGTGCCAAAGGCTGGATCGAGCCTTGCTCTTGTGTCGTTGCAGGATGTGTCGGTGTTGGAGTACGGAGCACCCCAATATGCCGCAGCTTGCTTGGCCGCTGCTTTCGGAGCCAACACTCAGGAGGCTCTGGTGCTGGACGTGGCCTGTGGGACGGGGCTGGTGGCCCAGGAGGTAACGTTGCCCAACAACAACTCTCTCCCGATCTCAAAACATCATTGAAACCCCACTCCCAGCCAGTATAGAAACACAGTTAATTTCATATCTATCAAGAAGAGCAGGGATGGCGTTTGGAAATCTGGGAGCCGCCACTGAAAAGGCTCTGCCTCTTTCGTTTCTACTAAATCAGTATTTCTCTGTCACACCTCAGACTAGGTTCACCTTGCTGAAAACACCAAACTGCACACAGCCAGAAGTCTTTATAGTTATTAAAAAGTAAAAGATAAAAAGTTCTTAAAAGCAAAAGTAATGTTCTAAAAGATCGATGCAAAATAACACTTTGAAGCAGGAGCCAAAAAGGCACCAGCAAAGTAAAATCCCATGAGAACATGACTGAGTCCTGAGACCATGAACACAAGAACGGCAAGATAACCCAGGCAAGCAAAATGCAAACTTTTTGGTTAACGTAAAGTTTCTCTGACAAAGATTTGGTCCCAAACACAGTGCTTAATACCCTTTGCAAAACATGAACGCTTTTTTTGGCCTCTGAACTCCTTCTTGTTAGCTATTCTCACACTCCTTCGAACTTTGCATTCCAAACGGTCAGCACGATCTAAGGTTCCCATTTCGTCAAGGTCAGCCTGTTCGTTAGTGTTATCCAGCTTGCCTTCCTGCTCATTATCAGGCTGAGAACTGTCCTCCTTTTCGGAGTCAATTTGCACCTGCACCCGGCTAGTTTCTGTATCAACAAACTCATTCCTTGCTGTGGGAAACTGAACTTCCACACCCTGTTCCTCATTGACTATTACAAGGACATTTTGAACCAGATTGTGAACCTGAGTCCCATCCTCCTCATCAGAGGCACTCTGTGGTTCCAGCTGAGTCACAACATTCCCAACCTTTCTGAAGCCACAACCCCGAGTCACAACAACTTTCCTGAAGCCACAACCCCTTAATACAGCTCCTCAGGTTGTGGTGAGCCCCAACCATAACATTATTTTAGTTGCTACTACATTCAATGCCAAAAGGAAAACCATACAAACAATTAACAACAAGACAAGGCAAATTAGACAATATAGAACAACTAACAATAACTTAATTAGATAAAGGTAAAGGTTTCCCCTCAACATTAATTCTAGTCATGTCCGACTCTGGGACTCATCTCCATTTCTAAGCCGGAGAGCCGGCATTGTCCGTAGACACCTCCAAGGTCATGTGGCCAACATGACTGCATGGAGCACCATTACCTTCCCGCAAAAGGGGTACCTACTGATCTACTCCCAAATTTCGTGTTTTCAAATTGCAAGGTTGGCAGAAGGTGGGGCTAACAGCGGGAGCTCACCCCGCTCCCCGGATTTGAACTGCCAGCCTTTCGGTCAGCAAGTTCAGCAGCTCAGCAGTTTAACCCGCTGTGGCACTGGGGGCTTCAAAAGAGGGAAAGGGAGATTGAAAAGCAAATGAAAAATAAGAGAAAGGGGGTGTAGAAATCAAAAAAAAGAAGGAAAGAGGTTGAGGAGGGAAAAGGAAAAGGAGGGAAAGAGGTTGAGAAAGAAAAAGGGAAAAGGAGGGAAAGGGGGTACAACAAAAGGAAAAGGAGGGAGTTTTCTAGGTGAAGAGAAAATAATAGAAAGAGAGAGTAGAAAGGAAAAGAAGGTAAAGAGATTGAGGAAGAAAGAGGGGAAAGGAGGGAAAGAGGGTACAATAAAAGGAAAAAGAGGGACAGAGTTTTCTATGTGAAGAGAAAAAAAGAGAAAGAGTGTAGAAAGGAAAAGGAGGGAAAGAGGTTGAGGTAGAAAAAGGAAAAAGGAGGGAAAGAGTTTTCTAGGCAAAGAGAAAATAATAGAAAGAGAGTGTAAAAGGCAAAAGGAAAAGGAAGGAATGAGGTTGAGGAAGAAAGAGGGGAAAGGAGGGAAAGAGGGTACAGCAAAAGGAAAAGGAGGGAAAGAGTTTTCTAGGCAAAGAGAAAATAATAGAAAGAGAGTGTAGAAAGCAAAAGGAAAAGGAGGGAAAGAGGGTACAACAAAAGGAAAAGTAGGGAAAGAGTTTTCTAGGCAAAGAGAAAATAAGAGAAAGGGTGTAGAAAACAAAAGGAAAAGGAGGGAATGAGGTTGAGGAAGAAAAAGGAGGGTGCAGCAAAACAAAAGGAGGGAAAGAGTTTGAAAAGCAAAGAGAATAGAAGAGAAAGAGAGTGTAGAAGGCAAAGGGAAAAGGAAGGAAAGAGGTTGAGGAGGAAAAAAAGAAAAAGAAGGGAAAGAGGATGGAAAGGGGGAAAAGAAAAAGAAAGGAAAGAAAGAAAGCAGGCAAAAGAAAAGGGAAAACTAAGGGGATTCCATTTATAAAATTATCAACTTCTTCCCAAGCTTCAGGCGGTGGGATTTCGCCACTTCCACGGCTTGGACGGCAGCCCGGGGATGCTGGAGCGTGCGAGACACAAGGGGCTGTATCAGGACCTGAAGCAATGCCTCTTGGGGCAGGAGGCTCTTCCCAGCCCAGAAGGTTAGCGGCATAACTTGATCGTAGGGGGAAGGATTTATGGGGGAGCTGCGGGGTGTATTTCCTTCTCTTGCGGCCTCTCACCCTTGTCCCAAGGCTGCTACGATGCGGTGGTGATCGTAGGGGCACTCAGCGAAGGACAGGTCCCCACCAACGTGGTGCCAGAGCTGCTTCGCGTCACCAAACCAGGTAGGACTTCCAGGTCACTCCCATGTCAGTGGGGTGCAGATCCACTCCGGGACTTTCAAGGAGCTTTTTCTGGTGATCGCCCTTTCTTCCTTCTCTCGGGCAATACGGCAGGATCAGCAGGGCCTTGACTCTGGCGCGTAGGGAAGGAAAGAAAAGTAAAGGAAGAACGGGAGGAAGGCTGAAGGACTGAGGACGGAAGTGCAGCAACTGTTTTTCAAAGGCCCAGGGATGAAGGAAACCAGGCCCGGCCGCCGGGCAGCCGTCCGTACGGCGGACATTACAGGGAGGACGGAAAGACAGGTGACAAGCAAAATGTGTAAGAAGGAAAGAAAGAAAGAAAGACAGGAACAGTGGGAAGAGGGAATGAAGGGAAAAGGGAAGAAAAGAAACAGGAAAGAGAGAAGGAGGGCAAGGAAAGGAAGGACAAGAAGGAAGGAAGGGAAAGGAGAGGAGAAAGAAGAGGAAGGAAAGAAAGAAGGAAGAAAAGCAAGGGAACAAAGAGATGGAAGAACAAGGAAGGAAGGAAGGACAGGAACAGTGGGAAGAGGAAGGGAAAGGGAAGGAAACAGGAAAGAAAGAAGGAGAGCAAGGAAATAGAAAGGAAAGAAGGGAAAGGAGAAGGAGAGGAATTGAGGCAGGAAGGAAAGGAGAGGAGAGGAAGGAAAGAAGGGAAAGGAAAAGCCCCGCCCCTTTTCTTTGAATGGAGAAAGAGAGCATCCGGCTTTCTAAGGGGCGTGGTTTTCATACGCCCCGCCCCTTTTATTTGAATGGAAATAACACCGTCCTTTAGACCTTCCATCCATCTTTCCCTTCCACCCTTTCTCCTTTCTCCCTTTCCTTCCTTGTTTCCTTCCTCCCCTCTTCCCTTCCACCCTTTCATCCCTCCTTCCTCCCCTCTTCCCTTCCTTCCCTTCCTTCCTTCCCTTCCATCCATCTTTCCCTTCCACCCTTTCTCCCTTCTCCCTTTCCTTCCTTGTTTCCTTCCTCCCTTCCCTTCTACCCTTCTCCCCTTTCATCCTTCCTTCCTCCCATCGCTGGGCAGCTGCTGGCGTGTGGCTCCCAAGTTAGAAAGTGTGCCTGGTGTGTGGCTTTGCTCTGATCCCATTGAGGCAATATGCCAGAGTGACACTAGGGGACACTGCTGGGACACAACCAAACCAGCATGGAACGCAATGAGGGTTTGATGTGTCTCTGCGTTGGTTTCTCTATGGAGACCCAAAGACAGAACTCTCCTCGATGTTTGTTGACAAGCCTTGTTCAGAGGTAGGTGGGCTTTGCCTTACTCGGAGGCTCACCAAGTGCCAGTTGTGCTGTGCCACCTTCACCTTTGTCCCTTTTGTTTCCTTCCTTCTTCTTTCATCTCCAAATCTCCCCCTCCTATTATTATTATTATTATTATTATTATTATTATTATTATTATTATTATTATTGTTATTAATGGGTTGCCATGCCATTCTAGTATTCCATTCCTACACATTATTATAATTATAATAATCGTTGTTGTTATTATAAAGCGAGTTTGCCATTCACATTCTAGTATTATTCTATTTCTATATTATTATTATTATTATTATTATTATTATTATTATTATTATTATTACCTGGCCATTGATTGCTCTTCCGCCTCTCTCTGCCCATCAAGGGGGCTTGGTGTGCCTGACCACCCGGAACAACCAATCCAACCTTCCCTACAAAACCGTCTTGGAGAAGGTCCTGGCTGACCTGGAGCAGAAGGGATTGTGGGAAAAGGTGGCGGAGGAGGGCGTCGAGAGGTGGGAGAGGGCGACCTCGGAGGAGGAATCGGGCCCGGGCTTGGAGTACATCTCCGGAGTGGTCTACCTCTATCGCAAGAAGGGAATGTAGCTGTGATACATCATACTTTAGTTCAGTGTTTCTCAACCTTCCTAATGCTGTGACCCCTTAATACACTTCCTCATGTTGTGTTGACACCCAAACATAACAGTATTTTCGTTGCTACTCCATAACTATCATTTTGCTCCTGTTATGAATCGTCATGGAAATATCTGATATGCAGGATGTATTTCCATTCACTGGACCAAATTTGGCACACATACCCGATATGCCCAAATTTGAATACTGGTGGGGTTGGGAGGGGATTGATTTTGTCATTTGGGAGTTGTAGTTGCTGGGATTTATAGTTCACCTACAACCAAAGAGCATTCTGGACTCCACCAACGATGGAATTGGACCAATCTTGGCACACAGAACACCCATGACCAACAGGAAATACTGGGAGGGGATTGATTTTGTCATTTGGGAGTTGTAGTTGCTGGGATTTATAGTTCACCTACAATCAAAGAGCATTCTGGACTCCACCAACGACGGAATTGGACCAACCTTAGCACACAGGACACCCATGACCAACAGGAAATACTGGAAGGGTTTGGTGGGCATTGACCTTGAGTTTGGGAGTTGTAGTTCACCT